AGATCACTTATGAGACCAAGGAAAACGGGGCTTAGGGAAGTTGTTGCCCCCGACCTGACTTGGGGGACAAGAAATGGCTTGGCACGAGATCACGCAAACGGGCATGAATATCGATGCAGCAGAAGGGACCGTGTCTGGAATCCTTCAGACGAGACACGATCAGTCAAAAATTATGACATCAATAATAGGAAATACAATCATCATCACTATCATCAAGGTTTATGGCGGTCCGTAATCCAGCTCCTAAAAACAAATCAATTACACGACAAACCTTTCCATTCCAGATAGCAGCCAGACGACTCAGCCGGGCTATCGGAGGCGCTGAAGACAGAAGACACGCCAGGGGGCAGCGCAAGGGAGATCGACCGTTTGTGGACGACGAGGACGAAAGCAACGACGGCTTCATCAACAACTTGTACCGCGACGATGACGACGACGACGAAGACAACGAGGACAAGCCATCGTATGCGAAAACCCTCCGGGCGAAATCACGTGAGTTTAGTTGCATGTTTTAAAGAGGGTTGGGTGGTCGTAGGCGTTGGGGAAGGGGGTTTGCTATGCAAACGTGGAGATAGTTAATGATTGAAATATATAAAGGTGCTAGACACCAAAGGTCATATAACACCATGATAAAGTATGGTGGCAAAAAGGGTAAAAATGAGTTAACGATTAGGATGAGTGGACAGAAGAAGGGGACGAAGAAGAGAAGGGCCTCAGTCTCCGTCTCCTAAGTCCCCCACGACAACAACGAGCAAGGAATTGTCGGGGCGGAGGGTTAACGTGTGTGTGAAGGTGCAGGATTTTTATGTGGAAAAAGTGGGTGGATGTGGACGCTGGCTGACATGGGTGGAGGAGATCTTTGTGTGGAAGTGAATGGGGATGGAGGAGGTGGATGTGGAGTAGTCGATGCGAGACGGAAGGAGTATGGATGAAGAGAAAAGTTGGATGGAGGGAAGGATGAGGAAGGATAAGAGAGAGAGAGAGAGAGAGAGAGAGAGAGAGAGAGAGAGAGAGAGAGAGAGAGAGAGAGAGAGAGAGAGAGAGAGAGAGAGAGCACTGTTGACTTATATGAGTCAATGAAATGTAGGCCTTATGTCTCCACACCTATATGTAAAGAATCCTGCTATTAATTGTGTTATTCACTTTATGACTTATTTTCTCATTCTATTTGTTAATCATTTCATGCGAACCTAATACATTTATACTTCCTCAAACAACCCAACCACCTTTATTTGTTTTCTTTAAGAAGCAATCACCTATAATCCTCTTTTTCTTAAGTCATCCCTAAAATTAAAGAAGGATGCTCCTCTTCCCACTTGTTTCTTGTTTATATCAGAACACGACTTTCGATCACATAAAGCAATTATCTTCTTACAGGGATAAACTGGTTATTTTTCTTCCGCGAGACACGAACCAATCACCTGTCATCTTTCTTAAGACAGCCTTCAATTTTCTCTTTGTTAAGTCCACTCGCCCTAAAATTAATGACACTTCCCTTTTCACTTCGGCGACTGTAAGAAAGACCTCCGCCTAACGCCAGCAATTGCACGTTTTACCCACTATTAGATACTATACAGTCACTTTGCATCTTTCCACTTGGGGCCATTTATCTAGAGGCCATAAAGTGCGCTAATTCTCGCTTCCAAGGATGTATTTCAGAGTTGCAATCTTCCATTTCGACGAAGGGATGCAGTCAACTTTAACATTTTCTCGAAGACGAATCAGTTGCTTTTCTTTTTTCAAGACAAACTGACACCAGACACACTCCATCCCTCCTTAAAAGATGAAACAAAAATTAAGATTAACGAACTGCATTTTCCCTCTCCTCTCTACTATGACTGTATATCACGACGACAACTTTCGCCAATTAATAACTTTCTATCTTATCTCTGAGACTAACCAGTTAACCTCTTCTTAAACTACCCAATCACCATCGACTATTTTTTTAAACGACGAACCAATCATCAATCCCTCATTCCTCAAACGACCCAACCACCATCCGCCTCATTTTCAGCGTGACGACCCAATCACCACCCACCATTCATCTAACGACCCAACCACCTTCAAATCTCCTTTCATTAAGCCACTCCCCTAAAATTAACGAACGGCTCTCCTCTCCCACTACTTCCAGGGATGTATGTCAGAACCGCGACCTTCCACTTCGATCTCTACTCTTGCCTCCCGAGGTTTATCTGCGAAGTTCACGCTCAGCCTCCAGGCGCCGACCTCACCGAACTGGAGAAGGATATCATCGCTCTCTTTAGGTAATGGTGTGATAATAATAACAGTAATGATATATGATAAACGAGATTAATACTGGCGGTTAAGAAAATAACGGTGATTATGATAGTGGTCATGAGATACATTTGTTTTGTTTTTTGTTCTGTATTATACCAATGGTATTTATTTTAATCCGAAGTATAGTGTAGGTTATCGAATAAAGTTTCCCCAGTTGCTGGTTACTATTGTAGGTGTTCAGAATTTATGATATAGAAAAATAAAGTTGATTTGGTTTTGATAAATGCTGAAATAGTAGCAGCGGTAATTATAATTTTATTACCATAAATGTTGACGGTAGTAGGAATGGTGATACAATAATAATGATGACTACCATGTTAACAGAAATGATAATCATAATGATGATAATTGTGATAATAATGATGATAGAGATAATAATGATAATATAACGATAATATTAACATTACAGCCAATAATTATTAATATTTTCATGCAACTAATATTAATATTTATAAAAATTATATAAGTCGTGATAATAATAAGACGATCGCTATAACTAGTTTCAGAGTGCGATGGTAATTATAATGTGACGATATTTACCATAATATTTTAACGGTAACATTTTAGTAATAGATGTCGGATGGTGGCAAACCATATTAAGAATAACGATAATGGTAATGGTAATGACAATGACAATGAAGATAATAATGATAATAATAATCATACTAATCATAATGATAATAATAACAAGAATGATAATGATACTGATACTGATAATAATAATAATAACAATGGCAATAATAACGTCAAGAACAATAACGCCCATAACAAAGGAATAACAATGCACTTCAGGGAAATCTAAAAGAAAAAAACACAGCCAAAGAACATGGAATGAAGATCCTATTATAAACTCCTTGGAATGTTTCACCTGCGTTCTAAAAAGCGACCATTTTACCCGCCATGATTTTACGTTCCGTCACAAAGGATGTCTTTCTCTCTTTAGCCAGAAAAAGAGTGTGAAGCCGGATCTCTGTGTGGTAATTAAGGATACAGATATTTGCCTTAGTTTTTTTTTCTTAGAGTATTGTGTATTTCTGATTTTAAACCTGCGTAGAGAGACTGGATTAAGGGGGAGGGAGGGGGGGGGGAGTATTGGGTAATGGCAGACGGGACGGCGCGCACTTATTTATATTGTTTAATGGATTTGAAGTTAAACAGACCGTTCGGAATAGGAGAAATATTATTGATTGACCAGATACATGTAGATATAATTTTCTTCCCGATCTAATTTGACTTTTCGAAATTTGAAAACTGTTGTTCAGACTTCTGTAAATGTTTATCATGGAAATAACCTGTATTTTGTATTGCATTAGAGCCTTGAGAAAGAGAGAAAGATACCAGACAAGAATAAACAAGATTTTCTCCTTCCAATTCTCCAGACATCTAGAACACGTGTATTATAATGAAGATTCGCCCTTTGCTATTTGTATATATGATATTTAAGCATGTGCAAGCGTATTCAGATTCGTTTCTCGATTAACAGCAGTTGCAAGATTTCTTCTTTTATAATGTTCTCCGACGTGTATAATTATATCAAGGATTCAAGAAAATAATCATAAGCGAGACAATTTGGAAGAGGTTGTTAGTCATAATAAGTTTCAATTACAGGAATAGAATATATAAGAGTAAGAAAACAATCATAATAATGATATCAATTATAATAATTATAGAATAAAATGATAATAATGACATTTGTGCTAAAAATATTATAACGATGATGTAATTAATTATGTTAGTATAGTACAAACAATAATGTAACTTGATATTAACATATATAACGGTAAAAAACGCTGATAGTAATTATAATAATTCAACAACAACACTAACAACAACAGGATCAACAACAACAGTAAGAACAACAACAGAATAATTACACCCATTTTCATGTGTCTTTCCAACAGGAACTACGTCGTGATGGAAGGGCCCGGTTCCCCTGTTTATTCGTACCAGCTGGCGGCACACATGGGCCAGCTGGCGACAGGGATAGATCCTTCGCCCTGCCACGGTCTCTACCCTTCCTGTCCTCTATCCCGAATGCAGCTACTTGATGTCTTGAGGGACGTTCGGAGTTCAAGGAGAATGTTCTATTAACTGGACTCACTCCCCTCCCCCCTCCTTCTTCCCTTTGCCCCACGCCGTTCCGGTGAATGGAATCCCTCCCTCAGTGTCCTGTCTCGAATTTGTTAAATGAGTGAAGTGATTTAAGGATTCTTGGGAAGTGTATTGTGTATATTCGGAATCTCATATTTATTCGGGTGGTTATATATATATGTGTGTGTGTGTGTGTGTGTGTGTGTGTGTGTGTGTGTGTGTGTGTGTGTGTGTGTGTGTGTGTGTGTGTGTGAGGAGATGTGAGGGTTAGGCTGAGGGAGACGGAGAGGAGAGGGAAAGAGTAAGAGAAAGAAGGAAATAAAGAGAGAGAGAGAGGTTAAGAGAGAGAGAGAGAGGTTAAGAGAGTTAAGAGAGAGAGAGAGGTTAAGAGAGAGAGAGAGGTTAAGAGAGAGAGAGAGAGGTTAAGAGAGAGAGAGAGAGAGAGAGAGAGGTTAAGAGAGAGAGAGAGAGAGAGAGGTTAGAGAGAGAGAGAGAGAGAGAGGTTAAGAGAGAGAGAGAGAGAGAGAGGTTAAGAGAGAGAGAGAGAGAGAGAGGTTAAGAGAGAGAGAGAGAGAGAGAGGTTAAGAGAGAGAGAGAGAGAGGTTAAGAGAGAGAGAGAGAGAGAGGTTAAGAGAGAGAGAGAGAGAGGTTAAGAGAGAGAGAGAGAGAGAGAGAGGTTAAGAGAGAGAGAGAGAGAGAGAGGTTAAGAGAGAGAGAGAGAGAGAGGTTAAGAGAGAGAGAGAGAGAGAGAGGTTAAGAGAGAGAGAGAGAGAGAGAGGTTAAGAGAGAGAGAGAGAGAGAGAGAGGTTAAGAGAGAGAGAGAGAGTAAGAGAGAGAGAGAGAGAGGTTAAGAGAGAGAGAGAGAGGTTAAGAGAGAGAGAGAGAGAGGTTAAGAGAGAGAGAGAGAGAGGTTAAGAGAGAGAGAGAGAGAGGTTAAGAGAGAGAGAGAGAGAGAGGTAGAGAGAGAGAGAGAGAGAGAGAGAGAGAGAGAGAGAGAGAGAGAGAGAGAGAGAGAGAGAGCGAGAGAGAGAGGTTAAGAGAGAGAGAGAGAGAGAGAGACAGAGAGAGAGAGAGAGAGAGAGGTTAAGAGAGAGAGAGAGAGAGAGAGAGGTTAAGAGAGAGAGAGAGAGAGAGAGAGGTTAAGAGAGAGAGAGAGAGGTTAAGAGAGAGAGAGAGAGGTTAAGAGAGAGAGAGAGAGAGGTTAAGAGAGAGAGAGAGAGGTTAAAAGAGAGAGAGAGAGAGAGAGAGAGAGAGAGAGAGAGAGAGAGAGAGAGAGAGAGAGAGAGAGAGAGAGGTTAAGAGAGAGAGAGAGAGAGAGAGAGAGAGAGAGAGAGAGAGAGAGAGAGAGAGAGAGAGAGAGAGAGAGAGAGAATGAAAGAGAGAGAAAGAAAGAGAGAATGAGAGAGAGAGAGAGTGAGTGAGTGAGTGAGTGAGTAAGAGAGAGTGAGTGAGAGAGAGAGAGAGAGAGAGAGAGAGAGAGAGAGAGAGAGAGAGAGAGAGAGAGAGAGAGAGAGAGAGAGAGAGAGAGAGAGGTTTAGAGAAAGAGAGAGAAAGAAAGAATTATAACCACTAATGATAACCTGATATCATAATATCTAACAAACAAAGACATCTGGAATGGACTGCATCACATCTAAGCATCATTATTAGTTGTGTTTAGAGTGTTTTCCGAAAGCAGAGTGATCCGTTATATATATATATTTGTCTCACCGTAACACAAGACTCTTTGTGGCGATATTCTATATTCTATATTGCACCCACTTTTATTTTTTTTCCTTTATAAAGAAATTCAAAATGTATTTAGAGAAATTCGGATGAAAGATTGTGTTTTTAAGTGATGGTACGAATGATTTTTATTTTTTATCACTAATCAAAGGAGAAAAATTAATACATAAAGATTTATTATTATTTATATTTGTATTGTTATCATTATCATATATATTTTATAAAATCGTTATTATTATAATTAATATTATTAATGGTTACAATAAAGATGATCATAATATTATGAATATTATAATCGTTATTGTTATTATTACTATTGTTATATTGTTTTAATATTGTTATCATTATTGTCAAGGATATTATTACTATAGTATTGTTATTATTGTTATTATTAATGTAGCTTTTGCTCCTATTGTAATTATTATTGCTATTGTCATTATTATTATTATTATTATCATCATTATTATCATTATTATCATTATTATTATTATTATTATTATTATTATTAGCATTGGCATTAACATTACGATTATAATTGTGATTATGATTACTATTTTATTATCATTAGTATCATCATCATTAGGACTGTGGAGTCGGAACTCAAAACACCCAACTCCGACCTCTAATATAATAATAATAAAAAAACACCAAATTCCTTATGACTCCGGTTACTGCTCCACAGTCCTGATCATTATCACAGTTAATATTATAGATTTATTTTGTATTTTTTATTCTATATATTTTTTTGTTATGTGTATGCATGTGTGGGGGGATGCCACAGATAGCAAACCCTTTCTTGTGTCTCTAGTCTTGTCTGAAGGAGCGCTCATGTGTCTTATTTTGATGGTGTTTTGTGTATAGTCTTCCCCGTGGAGTTTTTTTTTTTTTTTTTTTTTTTTTTTTGTAAATAATGTATTCGCTGGCAGCATACTATGTTGATTGTATGATATTTATGTGTAGGCGTTTTGTTTCCATGTTCGTGCTTCGTGTGTTTATGTATATTGAGACTTCGTGAATAATGATATGAGTAAATATTGTATATGATGATGACTGGGGTTTTATTATCATGGGTTTCTGTATGTGATCCAATATCTCATTCGTCCATTTATATATCTTTTGGTCTTCCCCCTCTCTTTCTTATTTTCTCTTTCTCTCTTTTCTTTATATCTGTCTCGCTGTGGCCACCCGGCTTATTATAGCTAGTAGTATTTACTGCTAATATTATTGATATTTTATACCCTCCTGAATTATTTCTTGAAAATATATCCTTAATGTATATGGCCTCTCTCTTGTGCTTTTTACTATGCACTCGATTATACACTGTCTTTCATGTATTCCATTTGCCATATACATATTCCCCCCCATACAACATACTTGTGAAATACGTTCATCTCACATTTTGCTGTTCACATCAAGTTATTACAGGTATAACACAACCAAACACAGCCAAACTGGTTAAAGTTCAAGACAGACCCATTCTCTCGTTACAAACCAAGGAGGCTTTAATTTTTTTTTTTTTTATTGTGTGGTATCCCTTTCTTTTGGGAGATGGAACAACACTCACTCATGAGAGGTTCCAAGAAACAGTCCTGTCTCTCTGGAACACAATAGGAAGTGCCTGTATCACTCCAGTTAACTATTCACCTTTCATTCGTGGAAGGACTCACATAGGCGTACCTTGTGTTCTCTGTGTGTCTACCTCTACCTCTGTCTATGTATGTCTCTGTTTCTCTCTATCTCTCTATCTATCTATCTATATATATATGTATATATATCTATATTCTCTTCCTCTCTCTCTCTTCACTCCTTCTCTCTTTTTTTCTTTCTATTTCTCTCTCTCTCTTTCTCTGAAACAACAAGAGAGAGAAAAGAGGACGAATTTGAACAATGACAAAACCTTTTCTACATTTGTCACAACGAACTCTTATTCACAGAAAGGCAGCTCTTAAAAGAGTCGAAGACAAGGAAAGGCTTATAAAAACAAACAAACCCAAACAGAAGATAAAAACACAGATCAAAACAGAATGGACAAGATGAAGCAGCGCGTAGGTGTTTTTTCCCCGAAAATATCACCTGAAAACAACAACAACAACCAGACTGTCTCCCATCCTCGGCTTCCATTGAAACATGTTCTCGACACGTATGGAAACTGATGACTTATTGGCGAGGGTGCAGGTCGGACAAGGGCGTGTGGGCGGGTCTCGCAGCACACATTTGTTGACATATTCACGCCCACAATACAGGGTGGGGAGAGAGGGATAAGACAGGAAAGGGAATAGGGAGAGGGTAAAATAGAGGAAGGCGATATGATAGGGGGAATAGGAGAAGAGAAAACGAGGAATATGATTGGAGAGGGAGAGAAGAAAGAGATGGAAGGAGCAAGAAAAGGAAGGAAGGAAGGAGATGAGAGACAGAAAGAAACAGGTAACAAAAAAAGGAAAGAAGGGAAAAGAGACATGGAAAGACCAGGAGAGGAGGGGAGAAAGAGACGCGAGAGGAAGGAAGGAGAATTAAGATGAAAAGAGAAGAGAAAAGAAAACACACACACATGTGTGTATATATATATATATATATATATATATATATATATATATATATATATATATATATATTATATATATATATATATATATATATATATATATATATATATATATATATATATATACATATATATATTTATATATATATGTATACTCTCTCACACACACACACACACAGACACACACACACACACACACATATATATATATATACACACACACACACACATACATACACGTGCACACACGAATGCCGCTCATTAAATATTTCTCCTGACCCACTTCTGCTTATCCTAGGAGAGTGAAATTTCGTATGCATAATGATACACATGTAAGTCATGTGATTTCCAGTCCTTACTTCATAACATTTTTTTTTGTTACAGCAGGACTTGTAGAAGTCCGAAGGTAGCATTTGAAGCCATGAAGTGACCAAAAATCAATGTCTCATCATCTTAGAGCGTTTGCCATTCAAAATGACTTCATGCACGGAAAGAGATGAAAGTCAGATGATGCAAGATCAGGAGAATATAAGGAGGATGAGGAAGGATGTCTTAGTCACAGGACCGCGCTTCCATCTGGGCAATGTGAAAGCTGTGAACAAGGGCATTGTCTTGTAGGAGGTGGACACCTTTAGTCAACATTCCACGCCTCTTGGTTTTGATAGTCGCCCGCAATTTCTGTAGCCGTGAAGTGTGGTAAGCTCCTTTAATTGTAGTACCTTTTGCTAGGAAATCCATCATCACTACGCTTTGCTGGTCCCAAAAGACTCTGAACACGTGCCTTTTGGGGGGTTGGTGAGTCATAGTGCTTCCATTGTTTTGAGTGGGCCTTAGAATTTGGATCATAATGATGAACACAAGTTTCATCCTGCGAAATTAGTCTATCAAAAAGGTCCTCCTGGTTTTCTTGGCAAATAATAATAAAAAAAAAACAATGTGAATAGCCTGGGAACCCATCGAGCAGACAACTTGCATAAACAGATGTTCATGAATAATCTTGTCCAGACCCAACACTAATCTTGACATCTTAGGTTAGCCGACGAACAGCAATACGGCGACCTTATAAAATAGTAGTCTCCACTTGTT